AACTTCCCTCTGAAGGGCTCTAAGCAGCATACATTGTTTTCTTCCCTCTTGTTTTTTTCCACCAACCCTGAGAGTTGATTAAAGAGGAATAAAGTACTTGTTTTAAGATTACCCACTGAACCGCATAACTGAATGAAGATTCAAACTTTGATACAGGCATCTGAAGCAATCTGAGATTGTATCAAAATGACCACAGACTCACAGTGATACCACGACACAAACTCCACTCTTACATACTTGTGGCCTACAGTCTGTTGCTGTTAAATAAACTGCAGGTTTGGTATCATACTGCAATTTGTGTCAGATCTCCCCACCCTGCCTCCACTGCAGATGCCAATGAAACCTGGGGCTTCCTGCTTCTATCATGATACTGTGACCATAATTTCAACTGTGAAATGTTTTAAAAAATCCTAATCTAAAAGACAAAGGGTGCCCACCTTCCACGAAGGAAGTGTACTCGTCAGTCTGGCAGAGATTAGAACTGTCTGTGTAGGTTGGAAAGGAATCCTAGAAATGAAGAGGCTGAGTAAAGCACAGAAAAATGGTGAACCTAAATATGGACTAGTGGTGAATACAGCAGAGAAGAAGCAAGAAGATCCTACAGATGGTGACTAAAGAAAGAAAGGAACTTGGTGAAAGTAAGGTCAGGAAAAATTACAACTTACAAACAGGAGAACAGTTTACTTTTAGCAGGGAACCGAAGAGAGAACATAGGAATTCAAGGACAGAAAGAAGGGCAAACACGTGTCCAAGAAGCTCAGTAAGGTGAAATTGAATTTTTAAATATATTTTGGGCTAACTCTTCAATGCTTTGCTTGCAAGTTTCCAATAATTTATAACTGTCACAGTAAAATGTATAAAGAAGCATGTGAATATTGACACAGCTAAGATGTTTTAATTCTCATCGTTAAATAAAAATGCAATGCTATTTCACCAGTACGCAGAAGACAGTTTCAGCCAGTTCTACCAGGAAATTTACTTCCACCTACTGCATGATCTCTGTTAACACACTAAAGCACTCACAGTGGTTGCACTATACTCTATGTAAATTAGAACTTTCTGAGCACATGGACAAAGAGAGCTAGGACTAATTAACAATTAGTTTTAATTCCATGTTGGCTTATGGCTACTGTCTGACTTAGGTAGATTCTATTAAATGGCAAGAAGTCAGAAGAAAAGGATATAATTAAATGGCAAGAAGTCAGAAGAAAAGAAGAATGTGAAGTTTCAATCATTTCTTAGAAAAAAGTATAGATACCACATTCCTAATCTTGTTCAGCAAACAAGCATTGAGTTTAAGTAACCTCAGTTTACTGATTTAGATACCACAACAATGTGTGGAAATGGAAAATAAGAATTTAGTTAAGACTTGAGTGAGCTCATATTGAAATGTAGCACTATTTCTGATTTAAAGTATTATTTTGGAGAACTGGAAAAGTGATATTTGAAAGTGATAGATTCATTTGTGCAAAACAGACAAATATGGAATTTGACATATTTTATCAAACTGACTACTACTAAATAGGACAAAACAGATATAATTATAATATATACAGTATGTGGTTCACACTGTATACATAAGCTACAGTCAAGAGTTAGTGAGAATTTTAATCCTGGTTTCTAAAGATGCTTAATACTCATTGAAATATAACCTCAGGATGTTCCTCCAGAATTATATTAAGAAAAAAAAAGTCTGAAGAACTTTCTGAAGTTGCTTACTCAAAGTTGAAAACTTCTAACTATATTAAATAGCCTTTTTTGAATGACAAAACATGTGAATGTATGGAAAGATTCTTCAGAGGTCTGGCCTATATGCTCTTTAGTTAATATTCGGAATCCATGTTTCCTTTCTTGTGCTATGCTGTCTCCAGACTACAGTCTACCCAAATTTTATTTTACATTTCCTTGAACTGGTTGGCTGATTTTGGGAGCTATTTTGCATTGTTTTGTGAGAAGAATTATTTTAAAATAAGATAAATTGTATTATTTCAGTGAGTCTCAGAACAAAAAATTTATTCTTTGCTAAAGGACATATTTTTACAGGGTTCTATCAATAAATATTAAGAGAAAACAAATCCTTGGTTGAATTTACTTATTAATGAATATCTAATTTAAGAAACTCTCAAGTCAATCTTATCTTCTGGACAATATCTAGACAGATTCATGTGATTTTCTTAAGTAACAAAATGCAATTTAACATTGCATTTTTCTGGGAAGTTTTTCCAACTTCCCAGTCTGGTCTACAGTCTTGGGATTTTGTGGTGATCTCCTATCCAAGTATAAACCAGATCCTATTCTGCTTAGTTTTTTGAGACCAGCCAAGAGAATACAGTTATTATCCAACTAAGAACAATGCACAAAACAAACTATTTAATCTCAAAAAATAAAATAAGCGTGACTTACACTATGAGTCAGACCCTTAGCAACAAGTGGTCCCACCATTCCTGGAATAGTACCAAATGAATTTGTGATTCCAAGGAGGATGCCGGCATAGCTATGTTCATAGGGGAAAACAATGGTTAGTACTTGGAATTCTCTAGCCCTGAATTTTACAATTCTTTTCCTGCCCCTTTAGAGCCAGATTAAATGATATGTGTCCTTCCATAAGGGAGGAAAGAATTTTCTCAACAGCAGCCCAAGCACTTTGGCATCCAGAGCCCTCTTGACAGATTGAAACAAGAGACACCAGAAAGAATTTCACACATGATTCATCCACTTGTCTGCAAGGGATTAGAAAAGCTTCTCTTGTGCCCAAGCTTCTCAGGCATTAGCACAGAGATTCCCACTGCAAATTAAATGGTCTCCCTCCAACTTCATTTCAGCACACACTTGACAGCCTAAGACAAACTACACCTTCTGACAGTATTGCTGTTTAATAAATACATATATACGTAATATGGTACGTATCATACAGATGTCGAACACAAAGCCTCTACCCAAAACAGTTCAGTGCAGCATTTTTTTTTCCAGGAAAAATAAGATCCTCCTCCCATTAAGAAAATGCTTAGTTATATGATGTCTACAGTGGACCCTTTTCAACAACTATGTGATTACAAGAGAATCACCGCGTACTCTTTTTTCACACCACACACACAAAATTGTATTTCTGGGAAATATATGAAACATAGAGGCTGTTAGTAGGTATAGGTTTACTGTGAATTGGTATCACAGGATGCAGCTGGTGCCTTCTACAATCTTGCACAATCAATTCTTATATTCCCTCTCTCAGAATATAGGTTTCCCTTCACTGGATATATTTAAGCTGTGGGATCTATGAGACAAATAATATAACATTTAATTTTATAAGTATAGCTAGTAATTAGCATTACAATAATTAGAACAAAATGGGAAAAGTCTAAATTATAATTTAAAAACAGCCAATCAGTTGCATGTATTAGAAGAAATAGGCTGTATCTAGGAAAGCTTATGACATAACACATTTCTTAAAGATGCCATGGGAATCTGTGCTGTTTTTGCTGCAATGGATTAACAAGTAAGAATTTAAACATTAAGTTTTGATGTGGCTATTGCTTGAGGTTATATTTGCAATGACCGTAGAAGAATAGCTAATTTATTGTATCTAATATTCTAGAAAAACTCCAGAAAGTGAAAAATAAACCCAAACATGTCCAGCTGGTTCCAAGTTCTAGGGAACTGAGTGGCACATGATCCCATGTATGTATAGTGAGGGAACCCAAACAACAAAACACGCACACACACAAAACCAAATGGATCAGAGGAGCATTTGATGATACTGGAAGATGCTACCATGATGAGAACTATGACAAATGGCAAGGAGGAATAACAGCTGTACCGATCTGTTTGTCCACCAGCTCCAGATGGCAGTAGTGATAAGGCAAAGGAATAACATCTGGTGGCTACTACAGTGAGAAGGTTATAGGAACTATGTTGAGGACTGCATACTTTCTGTTCATAACAGGGTAACTTTTTTCCCCAACCTGCTTCTCTGTATTCCTTTTGTTCACTTCAGCAACAAAGAATGCTTCCGAATGGAGTTCTCAATGGTAGATTTGTATGACATGGCTACACCAAAATCCGTCTTCTACATGAACATGCCTGGTGGTGGTTTCCTTTGCCCAATACCAAGGGAACCAACCGCAAATTATCCAGCAATCATGCCTTCAGAATTTAGTAAGATAGCTTCTTCTGACTGAGGATACCAGAAAGGGAGCCCAAGATTTGCTTTCTAAGTTTGGTTTTGACAAGCTTTTTGGGTTCTCTCCTTCCAGCTGGGAGAAACCATGGTTAACATGGCCCAGCATGCCTAAAATGGGAGGAACACTGGGTACATTTGTAGAGAAACTAGCTTCTGTCACATGCACTGAATAATCTCTCTACTTTAAACACAACATTATTTTAAAAGAGTTCAGATGTTGTTATCTTCTATTTGTCACCCTTCCACAATCTTCTACATTTATCTTTTTTCTTAATGGAAAAGCAACAAAAATATTAAGGATGAACATTTTTTTTTCTTTTATAACTAAGAACTGTCTACCTGGAAGAACCCATAGTTGTCCTCTGGTAGCTGTATGTGCTGATTTTGATGACAACAGAAAATAAAAATTCAAGAACAACTTTTGAGAACCTTTTACGAAGGGAATGACATGGTTGCCTACAACTGTCCTTTTAAAAGCATTCTTACTTCATTGAATTCTCTGCCTTATACTACCCATAGTATAATGAGATTATCTGTCTCAGGAAAGCTTAATCAACAGCTAGTAAGCCTGAAAAAAAACTTACGATGGTGCAATATCCAGGTGGTTGATACTGTAACCAGATGTAGAAAACCCTCCAAGTGTTGTTGATATGGTTAAAAATACAACTGCCACTTCATAATTGCAACCTATAAATCCAGCTGCTATGAGGAATACTGCAGGTCCAACCATTCCTTAATTAAAACAAAAATAGTAACTGTAAAAAGACTTCCTGTTTATTCTTTTCATGATATTTTAGTGTAGTTTTGAATTTTGTTTATTTTATACAAGTGGTTATAGCTTTCAGCTCTTGACCTACCACAGAGCATCACTGAAGTGTGATTTCATCCTCCATCCCTAAATAAAGATATAACATTGTCTAAAATAGTAGCTCAGGCTCTGCCATAGGGAACAAGAACAGTCATACATGTTCCTTGGAATTTACAGGATGGAGCAGGTATATTCTCCTCTGATCTACCCAAGTTCAAAGAATCCACTACAAGCCTTATAAAATCGGCACAAGAAAGGCAGTATGTTTGTTGGAGACACAGGGGATTAGTATCATGTAGACATTTGGAAGCAATCAAAGACAGTAGGATATTAGAAAAAAGCAGGTAGAATAGTGGGCACACACAGATGAAGGTATTTGTAATTTGATGATCGCAGAACATATGCACTGCATAGAAAGGTTCAATCCCTGATTTTTCCATAAATTCCCAGTAGCAGGAATAGGATATACATCCTCCTGAAATCCTGGAATATCACTGTCAGTCTAATTCAACAGTCTGATCAATGATCTGAATACAAGGTAGCTTATATACCTTATGCATCCACAATACAGAAGCATTTCAAGGATGGTTCAGTATGTTAAATGGCAGGAGCATAATGTGGTTACTGCGAGATTCAAATTATTGCAAAATGATAGTGTTTGCTGGAGTAACATTATGAAACTTTTTTTCCTGGCTTGCCTCCATTACAGGTGTGCTTTGTACTATCCCATATTATAAAATGTGCACCAAAATTCCTGCTAGACTTTGTTGGAACTGCACTTATTCCTAAATATTTGTGCATATGACTGCATCTAAAGAAATCAGCAACTGTTTTTTAATGCGATCATTAAAAGCAATCTGAGAGCTGTATTAATTTGTGTGCCCCTTGTGACATTTTGAGATGGGATGGTTATTACTATTTTGCTATGATAAAAAACTAAAAATCAAATTAGAAAATATCCTGCATTCTATTGCCACCTAGTGGACAAAACAAACTATAAAATTCAGGCGGGGGTGTCACGCCTCTGAACTTTTATCACAGCATCCCAGCTGTTGGTGCAGCTTTATTAAAGCCAAGATACCTGTTTTAAAAATCAATTGGATCATTAAAAAAAACAACAGAACAGACAAAGTTATTAATAGTTTTTGTTCTGTTCAAAGCTACTTATTTTAAGTAAGGCAGCAAAGGCTAATGTGGGAAAGAACGGAACTGAAGATTTATCAATAAAAAGATGATACCCATTTTTTTATCAAATTATCTCAAAATTAATTTATGCAATGTTTTTTCAGTTTGTTTCAAGATATTATATTATCAAAGGCAAAGGAATGAGAGGAAAGCCAGAGCGTGATACTTGTACTTAAATAAGCAAGCGTAAGTATCAGAAAGCATACTGGTATCTCTATGTAGTCCTGGAGAAGATGCTTGTCTGAACTTTGGGAGAGCTGTATCTAGCCAGTACTACAGAATCTACTTTGTACATGACATTGTGCCAGGTGGACCAAAGTCTGACTTAGCATAAGCAACCTCCTATCATCCTATCACCAGTAGGAACAAGGAACAACATTCTGAGCAAAGTTATAATGCTTTCCCCTCTAAAAAGCGTTCCTAAAAATTTCAGGGTGACCTTTGTTATTGTTAATAGATTCATGCCCAGTAGGACAATCTTCTTATTTTAGGAATCATGGTTGTACAAGATTCATATGGTCCTTGTAGGCTCTGACTTCACACATATGCAAGATATGCTGGGTCTATCCAGGAAGGATCCCGGTCCTTTCTGAGCAACAACTCTACTGTAACTGGAAAAGCTCACCTTGTATAAGAAATGCCATGGATTTAGTTTGGTAATGAATATATATTTTTAATTATTAAATTCAAAAAATTAAAGGGTGGGGTTGTATTAATGCTCAACTACTTAAAATACCAAACCAATTCACTTTCTGTCAGTATTCTCAGTGAACTATAGGCTATATTAAAAACAATGCTTTTCTTACCTATTGCTGTAAACGTTTTGCGAACACAGACCGTTGACCTATTTTGCTTTTCCCGTAAATAATCAGCAAACTGACCAGATACAATTATACAAATCCAGCAGCCAAAATAAGGAAGTGCAGATAAAAATCCATTCTGTAGAGGAAAAAAAATGGATTGGGGTTGGTTCTGTTACTTAAATTGTTTGAACAAACCTTTGTCTGATCGTAGATACGGTTTATGATATAAGATAAGCATGAGCAATGTATCATATTGTTAGATATAATCATAAATATATCTATGTATATGATCATAGGTTTAAGATAAGCATGAACAGAAACAAATAATATATTAATATAATGCAGGGCAGGCAACAGGTAATTTACATACAACTTGTGACTCTTTTTTGATATTGATGCGTCTTCAGGTTACCTCATTCCTTCCAGCCATCAAACAGATGTTTGGCAAGATAAGAAAAATATAGCCTCTCCCTGGGTTGCATTCTGGCCTCCTCCACTATAAAAGGAGAGCTTTTGTGTGTACATATTATGGATACAGAGCTTCCAGACAATTACTGAAATTGCCTGAAGCCTTTGATAATGAAATTTCTTTAGAAAAATGAAGTGACACATTTTTTTTTTAAACACAATGGAAAGACAAGTGAAGTAATGAGTCTTAAGTATGTGCCCAGGATGTAGCACCTGTTTAATTGGAGGCACACTATAATTTTAAGAGAAGAAACCTTTTTCCATGATTCTGGATTAGAGTGGATATTGCCACCGCCTCATCTGGTTTAGCTCATTTTACCGAGGAGAGGCAAAAATCGGTTCAACAGCCTCTTTTGGATTTAAGGCACTGCAGTAAAAAAAGGATCAACTCCCCCCCACCATATAGACTATGTAAAAAGAATAAAAGAAAGCAAGATTCCAAGCATGGATTACATGATAATATAACTGAAGAGAGCATTTAAATTGCTCATTCATTTTTCTAAGATTCCTCCCTTGTACTTACTAAATACATAACCTTCTGAAGAAATACAAGCATGTACCAGGCAGTACATGGGAAGCCAACACCTTTCTCCATTATTGTTCCTTTTGGAATAGTCTACCCAGAAAACATGATTGCTTGTGAATAGACCCAGCAACAGAATCCAGAATGTCTACTCATACATAATCTGAAGGGGAACACACGTTCATCAGCAGACACCTTGTCCTACAGGTCTTAAGCCTCAAATCTAATTAGAAAGTTTTCACAACGCCCTCTTTCTAGTTACTCAAAGATTCTTTCACCACTTGCATGGGTCTGAGGAGAGCAGGAATAAAATGTTTCAGGAGGAGGAACAAAAATACCAATTTTACTGTCTGAAGATTCTTCCCAATTTACATTAGTATAGCTTCTCCTTTGTTTCAATCTTCTCTCTTTGAAAAGAATGACTAAACAAGATAGCAGGGATGGAAATGGGTGCTTTCAAAGATGTTTCATCTTACAGACCATTTCTTAATTGCACATGTATAATCTGGAAGCTTTAACTCAAAAATCAAAAACAGCCCCACTTACTTCTATAACATAAAAGGCACACAAAAAGTTGCTTAAAAAAGTAACCAGATATTTTAAAAACTGCACTGTAATTGTAGTAAAATTATTGGCCCCAAACCTCTGATTTATTAACTAGTATGAATTCTCCAGGAGTACACAGAAAAACTAATTTAACTATACCCATATCCCAGGAAGATTATTTAATATTTTGTTCTAACAAAACCCTCAACTTCTGTCCAAAAACAAAGATGGACAGACATGTTAAACATTGGCTAAAGATTGGGGATCAAATTCTCATTCAGCCTAGATACTAACTGAATTACTTCAGTCCAATTATTAGTTATAATGCTTCCTTAAAACTAGGCTCATGGTTCTATTACTTTGGGATTAAAGTTAATCTTGGTAAAATAGGAATGCATATGATGGCTTACCTCCTGCATATCAAATCTCAAAATCTCCTTCATGTATGTAGGCAGCAGAGTAAGGAGAGTGTAGAATGTCCAATTATAAGAAAAGTGTGCTACAACAATGGCCCACAGTGGAAGAGATGTCAACATGGCTTCCCAAGGCACAGATTTTTGGCTAGATAGCTAAAGAGAAGGAAATAAATTCATACTGACATTCAAAACCTTTAGATCTCAAGGTATTTGATTTTTTAAAGAGCCTGTTGTTCTTCAGCATTATGAAGGATTAATTCAGACATAATGTTAAGTCTTTGACTCATAGATGGAAGATAAAGAATAGGCTGCATGATCAGGTTCCTTACTGAGTCTAAATCTTTCATTGGAGAATTGCTACCATCATTTCACTATAGTTTGTTAGGCTGTGTTTACTTAAGATGAAAAGTATAGGTCTGAAGAATGGCTTTTTGAAGATGCATAGAACCCTTAGGCATTTTTGTGTTTTAACTGGTAAAAAATTAGCAAAATTAAAAACATATTTAAGGGTTACTTTTCCCTTTAAGTATACAGTGTATATTTATATATTGTGATTAACCTGGATAATAACCAAATATTTGCTCATGGTTCATACCTGCTGTGAAAGGGAAGAGAGAATGTATTCTTTTTCTGTAGGGGAAATTGTCTTGTGAGTTTCAGGCGTGTCACTAACCATCCATATCCAGAAGAGGAACCACAACACACCTAGAGTACCTTAAAGTGAAAGAAAAAAGTGCTTTTGTTTAAGTTGAAGGCAGAAAAAAGTCTATGCCTAGACTAACTAGAAATGATCTGCATGCGAATACAAGAGCCTTGTAGTAATCTATGCAAGAAAAAAACCCCTGAAAGATTACAAGGCATTTCAACCTACAGTATTGCTTTTATGTGTGATGTTTACATATCAATGTGTCCCAATTATATCAAAATCAATTCTTAGCACATAACAGATATTACTTAACATATTAACTTTTAGATCAGTTGGCTCCAGTATGGCTAAAAGTGTTAAATACAAAATGACGGCAGCTGGGAGGGGAGAAGCAAAAAAAAAAAAAAAAGTAAGGGAGATGTCTAGAAAATGGGATTATTACATAAAGACTGGGCTATTTAAGAAAATACAAGCCCACACCCCATCACTGCTTGGAATCATCACATTTCTTGACAATTTGCATGCATGCATCTCCCTGACAGAAAAAAATCATGAAATCAAAAGCTCCAGAAGTTTGAAAAGATAAAGCATCCATGCAACCATAGTAGTTTAATTAGTTGCACTATTCTAGAATTAAATACAAAAAGCTTAACCAGAGAATTATGCTTACAGTGACAGTACTTACCAAATATGTAGAATACATAACTCCAATCCATATAAAAGCATATTAAACCAGACAAGGGAAGTGACACAACTGTTCCTAGCTGTGCACCTACAAATCAAAGATTTTTTAAAAAAAATGCTGACAGTATGTACCTTAGTAAACAGAAATTATTTATCTAGTGTGGCTAAAATAACAACCGAGCTAAGGATCACCTTGGTTAGGGGCAATGCCTGTCTTACAATGAGCCATGGCTATGGGTAGAAGGAAAAATACAGTATAAATGAAGGGAGGAAATTCATAGTCCTGCAATATGTTCTTAGGGTCGCCCTATAGTCAATCATGGTCAAATCTAAGAACGTTTATGAAATCTTACCTGCATATGATATACTAAGAAGTTTACTGCGTTCTAATGGAGGAGCCCAATTGGACCACATAGCATGCATGGCTGGAAATGTGACACCCTGGAAAATATATTTGCTTATAATATACTGTAACATATATGTCAAAAATAAAATGAACATTCATTTGTTAAATATCATGTTTTATTACAATGAAATGTTTCTCTTCAATAAATCCTGGGAAAGTACTGGTTATATTAGTATGAAGCTAATTTTTTCAGCAAGTGCACATAGCTGAAAACCAATTAAGCAGAACTAATATCCTGCCCACCCTAGTTCTTCAGATGACAATGTTTTGTGGGCAATTATACTGAACACCTATTTTTTTGCTAAGTAATAGCCGCCAAAATATTTCTTCAATCTAGACTGTAAATACTGATGTGTAAGGAGGCAAGATGCAATAAAATCAGGCAGTGAAAGTTTTTTTTAAAAACAAAACAAAACAAAAACTCATTCTTCAATTAAACTAGAAACCTAACAAAAGTAATGCAGATTTTAAAGTAAAAACAGTAAGGAACAATGCAAAGACCTAAATGGATTGGGACAATTCATTTTATGATCAGCTTCTAAGAAGCTAGTCTTTGGTTCTTCACTAGGGTGGTGAGTATTATGGGTAGAGTCTATTCTATAATGGCTGTCACTTTGGGTGCCTCCCAAGAACACTAAACAATATTTTATTCTGGTCAACTCTTGACCATCAAATCCTGCAAGGTATGGGTGGTGCTGAAATTTGCCAAAAAAGAAAATGGTACTAGAGGCAGAATTCCACTGAGGATTTGGACTTCCTGACTGGTGATATGCTATCAAGTTGGTGACAACAATGACCATAGAGACAAACCTTCTCCAGAATAATTTTATATTGCCTATCTCCATGTGGTTTCTTGGTAATATACAGGAGTGGTTTACCACTGGCTTCTCCTGGCAGTATGATCTCTTTGCCACTGTCACTAAAGTGACTTTTTGCCTTCGACATCTTCTTATATCACTGTTACCTGATATAGGTGCCTGCTTGCTTTAGCTGGGATGACCTTCGTGCCTTTACCCTGCTGGAAGTTTATGCTCTTGGCATTCTTTGCTCATCCCTCCCAGGAACACCCTCTGTCAATATGAGGCAGCAGGACTTGAAGGGGTTGGATTACTTGGGTACACAATACCACACTGCCCTTTGTATGTAAATTTTTTCACAAAGATGGTGCTTTACACTCCATACGATACACTTGTCCTTATGAACAATACAGTTGCACTCACAGAAAACACATCATTTTCATCTGAAACCTAGAAGAACTGAGAGAAAGGAAGGAATGCTCAAGTCCCATATCCAAGTTCAAGTTCTGCGACTAGACTAACAGACTGATGAACCAGGAGCTGCTCATGTCAGAAAACTATGAAGCGTGTTTGGATAGCTAGTGAGTTGGTGTCGCCCCTCTTGTTCCCTACTGTTTTGTCAATATTAAAGGAAAAAGAAGAGATTACCTCACCCAGGCCTTCCAAAACTCGGACTGCTATGAGGAATCCAGCTCCTAAATCTGCTGCTAATGGTGTGAACAAGGTGAAAACAGCAGTACCCAAGATGCCAAATCCCAGCAGCAGCTTTCCCCCAAACTGGCGTGCGAGATATCCACCAGGAACTTGGGTAAAGATGTAGCCATAGAAGAAGGACCCAAGGATCCAGCCTTGCATATCAGCATCCCAAGCATATTTTTTTCCCTAAAAAGAGAGGAGGAAGAGGCAAGCAGGTCTGGTCAATATTTTTCATATCATAAAGAAAAAAAACAAAGCATTGTGTTCTCCCATTCATTAATGGTACCTGATCCTTTATGGCATTTGTTCCCAGCTACAGACTAGTTAACAAATTCCATTTTCTGTAACAGTGATCTCTTGCTCATTATTATGAGCTGCATGAAAAGAGCTTCCTATACTGTATACCCACTACAAAAACAACATTAATTTCCAGACATCAATTATTTTTTTACTCTGTTTGCTAATTTAATTCTTACAGCATGTCAAAGAGAAGTGCAATAATTTTTTTTAACAATTTAAATCATATATACATTGCTTTGGGATCCTTTTATTGTTTCTTTTTATCAATGTATTCAATTGATAAGTTACCACGCTTGAGATACAAGACATTACACATCTTTGTTAACAGTCCAAAGAGTGCTATTCCATGCAAAAAAGAGAGAGAGAGAGAGAGAGAGAGAGAGAGAGAAGTGTCTTATACCAAATTTGACCACTGATATGTCTTACTCTGTCCTGCAGCAGCTCTCCCAAGGTTTCAGGCAGGAATTTTTCTATGCCATATCAGAAGATGCCAGACATTAAATGTGAGATCTTTTGCAAAAAAAGGCATTTACTCTTTATATTGAGCTATGGTTCTGCATGCAGGATTTTTTTACTTGTACTTCTACATTTCAATAAGCAGCACCTCCTTCAAGATCTGGCTTTTCCTTCAGGCACTAGGGCCAGGATATTAGTGGAATCTGATATGTATTATGCTGAGATAAGAGATGGTTTATTAAGCATCTTGATTACATTGTATCATTGTTTATTTATACTAAGTTACTTTACATTTCATGTATTGTTAGCTGCCCAGAGTCACTATGTTGAGATGGGCGGCCATATAAAATACAGTGGTACCTCGAGTTACGAACGCCCCTCCTTACGAATTTTTCGAGATACGACC